TGAAAATATTTTTCGTGTACGCACTTAGGCACAAGGAGCTGTTATACTCCACATAGTAACGATCCAGGTATCGCAAAAATTTATTCATCCAGTTTGTGTAAAATGAATATTTAAACCAGGCGTCTATCAAAATTTTCGTCTTCATTAATTCCTCTTTGTTTCTTAACAGCGGTTTGATTTTTTCTACAGCGTACACGGATAAGCTTTCTCCATATTTTCTATACACCTCTTTGGAATAACAAAATGGGTTCTTTCGTGCACACATATTGTATACAACTGTGTACAACCTTGTGTACTCCGTGGCACTGAATAGATGCTTGTTATGTTCTATGTTTTCATTTTCTAGATAATTTTCTATCTTCTCTATCGCCTCTTCCTTGATTATTTTCCACCCGCTCTCAAAGTTCACATTTGCGATGTCCATTTTGGCTAGTTCGTTTTATCCCCATTCGGCCCCACTTGGGCACGTACGTCTAGCCGTGTGTCCGTCTTCTGTAAAAGATGTTATCTCAAGTTACCCACAAAGGAGGCCACCTCGCACATGTGTGTAATGTGTGTACTGCGCAGGCCTGTACAAGCACGCGCGCATACATATGTTGTTCTTCACCTGCACAATGCCTTCGGCTTCACTAGGCGGAAAGGCACAACGGGGGGCAGCGGTCATGTTCGCGTGCATTACAAATCGCCACGCAGTTCAGCAAAATGCTGCGATGCCGAGAAAGGCTACGGAATGATTTATGTACGCTGGTGTGTATGCCGTGAGGGGACCAGCAGAGCGGCAGAGTGGCAAAGTGGCCAGCGATGGTTGGAATTAATTTTATTTTTTTAATGTCCGTAAAAACTTTTAAACGATAAGAAGGCAGTATGAGCGGTATGCACGCATGGTATCCATACATGCACGCACGCACATTCCCTTCCCTTTCTCCAGGCTCTTCAAAAACGCACACGCATTTGCTGCAAAGCAGTCACCACAACAAAAAGGAAAAATAACTTCAGCTGATGAGGGGAAAAAAAAAAATTGTTCCCTTTTAAAGAAAAATATAGCGAGATGAATAATAGCAAAATTTAGCCACGCTTCATAATGGGAATACTCGTAAACATTTGCACAAAAATAAACACACATCTTTTTCGCAGCGTGCCAAAATCATAATTAATTTTGTTGAACAGACATTTGAGGAATGGAGACAGACCATTGGAAGGAGTAAATCGAAAGGGGGGGACTCCTTTTTTCTTACAATGAAAAGTGTTCCGTTTTGGCCGTTCCTCTCTTTGTTAATTTTTTCTTTTTTTTTCTCTTTTGCGATTTCCTCCCAATGCGCATAAAAAAGTATACAAAAAGGCAAAAATACAACTTGGAAGTAGAGGTGAACGTGAGCGCGATGATTCTCCCCTTGGTGATAATGTTATACTTCTGTACCTATGCAGTTTCGTTGAGGGAATAGCCCTACTCACGCATATACACACCGTTGTTCGTGAACAAAAAAAAAAAGGTCATTCACTTGCTTTTGTTTATCCGGTTGTCTGCTCGGCCGTCTGCATAGTCGCTTTCAGAAAAAGGAAGCGAGTTGGCCATTCTGCGATTTTTCCCTATCTCTGTAGATTCGCATAAGGTGAAAAAGAGGGGCATGCTCGTTACCTTTACAAAAAAATATTGTGCCGCTTAAAGAGCGCCATTTAAAGTGCGTCATTTTACCTTTGTACAGGTACACATTTATTGCAAACCCAAATGAAGAACTCGTTCGTCCCTTCAAATGATACAATTTCTGCACTTAACAGATAAAGGGAAAATATTCACCCAAAGAGCCATTCGAAAACGTTTCATTTTTCCATAAGATCAGACGGAGTAAAAACGTTCCAGAACCTTTCACATTGGTGCGAGTATGTTCTAAATTGAAAAAATATTGCATAAAAAAATTTTGTGCAGTTCCTTCATATGCCTACAAAACGTTTCTGCCACTCGCGCAGTTGTGGTGAATCCTATAAAGGGGCAACCCAGTTGCAGCGAGTTTGAATCATTTGTCTTCCTCTTTCTGCTTGCATATTCACATGGATATTTATGAAATATTTCGCTCAATTATTTTATTTTATTTTTTTTTTCTTCACTTTCATGCATCCAGTTAACATCACATTTTTGAGTTAAAAAATATTTCGTGTTATAAAACGCATGTTTGGTGTCATTTCCTGTCTGGAAAACTTTTTTTGTTCGCTTAGTTGGCGCCAATTTTTTTTTCTTTCTTTTTTTTCTACTTATATCGTAATGTTATTTTAATGTATACACAAATGTTTCTTTTAATTTAACTGCCTAAGTGATCGCGTTATTGTTTCACTCGACGGGCATTCGTTCACCTGCTCATGCATTTGCCTCTTTGCACATATGAACAGAAAAGGACCATACGAAAAATCAAACATTCGTTTTAGCTAACAGCTTATCTGACGCCACCTTGCATTCTCGGACGTGACTCAAATTGTTGGATTTATCGCCTCCTTCACAAATGGAAAAAATGATGGCGAAAAAATTGCAAAAAAATGTTCTACAAAAATGAAAAATGCGCCAAATCGTTGGGGGATTCTTCAAAATAGGTACGGACACGCATCCTAGGCAATTGCAAATATGCCAATTTTAATATGCACATATGTATGACTATCTGTGCAAATTTATGCGCAGTCCTCGCGGGGGTGGAAAACACCCTACTGAAAGTTTAATTCTTCTTTGATGGGATATTTCCTCCCCTTTTTCATACCGCAAAAACAGCACTGTTGATAAATACAAACGAACATGCGTATGTATATATATATATGTGTGTGTATGATTTTACTTTTTTCTCCTTGGCATGGGCAGATAACCACCGCTGACAGCAAAAATGTATATGCGCAAGCACACGCACGCAGTTGCGCAAAGACGGCGTAGACAGATAGAAGGACCAACTTCGCACTTCGGCAACTGTCGGCATCACTTTTGTTTGTTTTATTTCCCCAAATAGATCACAGACAAATTGTGTGACTCCGCCTGACCCTGTTTACACCCCTCCAGACAGAACAAAAAAAAAAAATGTCAGACATGTCAACTTGCCCACTTAACGACTTCTTCGACATTGATGAAGAAAACAACTTGGATGAATTAAAAAGGGAAGATACAGAAATATACCAGGGATCGTTTTTATGGTACATCTATAACCAATTTGCATTTTGTTGCACGAATTTTTTCGACAAGCTGGAAAAAAAAAATAAAAGAAACAACATTACATTAAAGAAAACCTTCTTGGAGGACTATGATAAGAACAAAAAGGATGTTAGCCAATTCCAAGTCTTTGATAAAATCCTCAAAAAAAGTGCAGAATTAGCTAAGGAGATGCCATTGGATTCGAGATATTTTAACCCTCACGTGAGTACACTACCGAGTGGTGAAGAAAAACAAAAAAATTGCAACTTCATTACCTGGCGATGTAGAGATACAGAATTGTTCCGCCTGTTGGGGGAAAAACAAAATCCATACGCCCACATCCCCGCAGAGCAAGAACGGAAAAAAAAAACGCGTTCTCGTATCCCCTTGGCGATTTTGCAAAGTGTGCATTTTGCATTTTTGTCACAGCCTTGAGATTTATCACCACAATTTACTTTTTTTCCATGCCCCCTTCCATAGGCGGACTGGTGCGAATGTGCCCATGAAGTAGACATTGAACTGACGAGCGAAGAAGTCGAGTTCTGCATTTTTAACTTCTTTCTAAAAATGTACAGATCGGAATCAAGAGACAAGGATTTACTTCTATCCATCATATTGGAATGTTTGTACAGAAGGAAAAATTTCAAAAAGGAGTTTTACTCTCAAAAAGAAAAATTGAAATTTTTAAAAGAAATAAAAAGTATAGAAATAAGTAGCTTCAAGGAGTCGTTAAATGAATTGATTAACACAATTGAAAACACCAACTTTGTTCAAATTAATACAGAGCAAGTGAAGAATGATAAGTTTCATTTCAAATTATACGTTACCATTCAAATTAAGTACACTTATGGCGTTTATATTTTTAATTGCGATGAGGTTTACGACATCGTTGTTATTGATTGTAATACATTAAATAATAACATTCCAAAAATGATGAGCTTTTGCTCCTTGAGAAAATTTATATCCTTCCTGAACAGTGTTTATTCCATTAATTTTACTGATGAGAATGTGCACTATTCATTTCCAATCGTCGTGTACGAGTCCAAGGAGTGCTACGCATTGTCGCATATTCACCTCCCCCTAAAAGAGACGGTGTTCAATAACAGAAGAGAGGGCAAATTCCAGGAAAGGGACATTTTGAATGACCAAGGGGGGGACGAAGAGGAACAGGACGAGGAACAAAGCGAAGGGGAGTCGCATGACGTTGCAAGATAGAGGAAGGAGAACCAGTATGACATTGTGACATATGGGAGTACACGAAAATTCGCATAATTGCGATCCTAAACGTCGGGGAAGATAGGAAAAAATGGAGACCGCTCCTTAAGAGACGTTGCTATATACATATAAGTCATTATGTATGTGTCGCTCCACGCACATGTCCTTAGAAGAACCAATTCAACCAAAGGTGCGTTCATTTAAAGCCGTTTCCAGGCCATGCTCTAAGTGTTTGTTTAAATGGAATGGGCACAAATTCAGCGACATGCTCAAAATGAAAATGTGCAATTTGTGCTTGCCTGCAGAAAAAATGGAGCGATACACCCACATACATATATGCTCCGTGTGAGGATGATTTTCAACAATGTGTTATATGCAGAAGGGGTCATCTTTACGTTGAGATGTGCAAGCACATACAGATCGCGAGTCTGCTCTGGAAAGCTTCATACCAGTGCTAGGCCCCCACAGGAGGGGGAACCACGAAAAGGCATATATGCAAGTAAAGCTTAAAGAGGACGTAGGGGCAAACTATATGAAAGCTGCTAGTCTACTCATTTGGTACACGCATTATGACATGTATAGATTAGGAGGTTGCAATTCAAAAAGGGGATACGCTTTGGGGGAATTATTTTGCCTTTTCGTTCACTGCAAGGATATTAGCCTCAGACGGATGTATCCTTTCGAGCACATCCAGGACTGTCTTGGTTTCTAACACGTCGTGAACTCTGATAAGGTCCACCTTTTTGTAGAAGCTGTACGAAGCAATGGCTAGTCCGCCTAGGAGAAAGGGAAACAAGGGGGAATGTTTAAATGTGGGGCATCATACGTGACTTAGAGTTGATAAAATGATTAACAAATGGTACAGCACATATAAGGGCCACTCAAATACACGTTTTGCCAAATCACGGAGCCGACGAATTCTTACCGGAAATAATTTTATGGTATAAAAGCTGATCCTTATCCTGACGCATGTGACTCATTTTAAACCTCCACAGTTGTGACGCGTCACCATTGGTCAGTTTGGAATCCCCGTTAGTCAGTTCGAAGCCCCCATTGATCGCGCCACCTTTCCCCATGCAGTGGGCAATAAATCGCTTCCTCGAGTAGCCAAGAAACAGCGGATACTCATCATAAACGTGAATATGCTGCAACAGCTTAATGGATTGGTCGTGTTTTTTTGCAAACCCTAGGCCAACATCAAAGAGAACTCGGTAACGTGGTATCCCATTGAGAACGAGAAAATTTAATCGGTCTTCTAAATACTTTTTAATGTCATTTATAAGATCATTGTAATTTGTTAACTTATCCATGGTGTGTGGATTCCCCCTCTTGTGCATTAAAACGACCGTATAGAATTTATTTTTCCTTTTTAATAATTTTATAATATCTGGGTTGTGTGTACACCCACTGATATCGTTTAGGATGTCTACCAAATCGTGTTCCACGCATTCTTTGAACAAATCATAATTGACAGTGTCGATACTGATGATCGGTTTTGCGTCCCTCAGTTGTTGTAGGATCCCCTCTGCGTCACGTTGGGCGTCTTTCTTGGCATCGTCCATTGTAGCGCATCCTGCCTCACCACCGGAAACCTCGCGCTCAAGCGTATGCCATTTCTCCTTAAACAGCTTCAAAACGGGAATGACCAAATCCCGTTCAGTAACATTTGGATTGGGGACCACATAAGGCGCGGATGATTCCCCCCCGATGTCAATCACGCTCGCCCCATCATTTGTCATTTCGAACATCCTCTCCACAGCTTTCACAGGATCGACAAACAAACCACCATCAGAAAAGGAATCATAGTTAACATTCAAGATGCCCACTATATGAGTTCTTTCTTTTAAATAGGACACTTTATCTTTCAATACGTATATTCTCTTATTATTCTTCCTGATATGCATGTGATACTTCTCTTCAAATTTGTCAACATAGTTTTTATAAGTTGAGCCAATGGCTTCCTCAAACGTGCAGTGCTTATACTCAGGAATCATATCATTTAAGCAGAGGAGAATACTATACCTATATTTTGTGTACACATGAGGGATACATAAGAATCGAATTTTGTCGCCCAGATTTTGGATAATTTCGAGATGGTTCTGATCACTAGTTTGATTTATGTGAATATGTTTCGTGATGATTTTATATATGTCTTCTTTTTTTAAACTTATACTTTTCTCAAAAATAGTGTAGTTGTTAAAAAATAAAATGTCTATGTCTATTATGCGATTTTCGAATATTTCTCCCTGACCCTTTTTGCTTTCCCTTCTTTTCATGATTTGTTCTATGTACTTTAAAATTACGAGCATGGTGAGGGGGTCTTCAACAAAGGTCCGAACTACAACTGTTAAGTTAAAAAAATAACTCGTGTAATATTTATCTTTATACTGTTCTAAGTTTTTCTTCATTATTTCGTCATTCTGTTTGATTATTTTTCTTGTCTCATTTTCGTAATCCTCCACACTGACTTCCTTGATAATGCTTTCATTTATTTTTTCATTTTTTAAAAACACTTCCAGTTCTTTGCACTCATAAATTAAATCTTCACTTTCTTCATATCTGGACTTTTCCACAGTCTGAATCAAATCCTTTATCCAAGAAATTTCACTTGGGGGGTGCCCCTCCGTCACCTTTCCAATTTTGTTTACTTCATCCAGGACGATGTATTCCGGGACAGTTTCGTAAATGTACGAACTGTTGATAATTTTGCCTAACATGTTTCAAGAAAAAGGCGAGCAGACAAATGTCCTTCATGTTCTCTTAAGCGACGGAACATCTAGCGTGGCGGTATTTGGATGTGTCTCTATGTGTGTGTTTATTATTGTGGGAAAGTATCTCCTCCCTTCCATGTACATATGCTGGTAGGAAAAAAGGCTCCAGGGGGTGCTCTCACCCTGCCGAAATATTTCCCCTTCCAAAGAGGAAGATAAATTTCTCCTAAACTATCCCCTCCCTTCGCCCTTACCAAGGTACTTCTCCGTCAGATATAGCGCCGTTTCTAAAATCGCTACACAATTTTTTTTGTCATTAGTTCCTAAGTTTAAAACGGCTATATTCGTTGGGGTAGTACTCCCGGTGTTTGAGTCCTTCATGGCGGTCCTCGGTTGTTACTGCTGTTGTTCTGTTTATTTGTGTTCTTCTTTTGCTACGCGTTCTTTTTTTTTCCTATATATATCCTATTTAGAGATTATTTATACCGACCCAATTTTTTCCCTATTTATGCCCTATTAATAAGCTTGCTTTTTTTACGGCGAGCTCCCCGTGTTGTGTAATTCGTGGACTCCCTCCTCTTAGGTTTAGAACACAGTATTGAGGCTTTTCGTGAATCGTTTCAATATGTACCCTAGTGTGAACCTATTTGTGGAAGAAGTGGATTAAAACATGAGGCGTTGCTGCATGTTTTTTCATGGTTACTGGCGCATCAACATTTGTTTGAGAATTCTACCCCTTAAATTTAAAGTGAATTTATTTTTAGTGCCGAAATGTAGAGGGTGCGCTGCAAAGGGGGGGACGCTAAGTGCGGGGTGCAAAGTGCGCAGCGCCAACTGCGGGGGATGTCAAGGGGTCAAGAATCGCCGATTTAGCTGACTTGTTCGGGGTCAGTTTCTGTTTTCCTCTTGTAGATATTATCCACACTTTTTTTTCAGTTAATCCAGTAAAAAAAAAAAAACAAAAATTGCGAATGCTTTTACGCGGGAACAAAATCTGTTATATGCATGTAGAGATACAGGAGCAAGTGCGGACCCACAATTGTTTTTAATCGAAAGGGCGATGTAAAGCAGGGAGAAAGCAGTTCCGCAAGAGGCAGCGTCGATTCGGCAAGGCAATGACAAAGGGGTCCTTGGATGTGCTTCCGCCATCTTTCCCGAGTTGTTGCTTCTTTCGATTTTTGCTCCTTTTCCCCCTTGAAGGAAAATGGATTATAACATAATTTATGAGTGGTACAGAACCTTAAGTTGCCTCAAGACAATAAGAAAAATCAACAGCTTTGTGAGGCATAAGTAAAGGGAAAAAGGGACGCTCCAAATGGACGCGCACAGATTGCATATGCCTGCCATGTGTTTAGCCCCCACCTGTGGGGCACTTGAAAAAAAATGCCACGCATTCCCAAGACAGTAATTGCCTTGATGAATACATTTCTACCCTTTCAGCAAAGAAAAGGCAAGTGTCGAAGAGCTAAAAATAATCAATGAAAATAAGTACGTTTCCCACTCCATCGCCATTCTAACGGCAATAGGTTAGGTCCACAGAAGAGTGCAGAGACCTCTTTCACGTTTAATCGACGTGTAACATTAATGCACGTTTACGAATCATCGGGGGAAATGACCCCCTCGTGCACATACACATGTGCATCTGTGTATCTTATATTTTTTCGAAGGCATTCTGACAACCTTCCGGAAGTTAAGGCGCCTGAAGTCTTTCATGTTCAGGTTACTGCGACACTGGTGTATACATATATATATATATATATGGAAAGTGATAAGAATACTCTCACATTTTTACTTAATTTTTTTTTTTCACCGTTTAGACCCTTTTTGCCTGACCTCTTTGGACTAACAAGTAATCAAAAATACTCAGCTGGATGAACGTTCCAAGTTTATTTCGTTTTCTCTCCTTCTTCTCACACGTTCCTGTCTCTGCACATGTAGAACTTGAGCGAACTCCTCATCTTTTTATCTCCCTGCTTAGCCTCCTGCTCCTTCCTGTACCTGCACGCCTTGTACCTAAGCCGAAACACCATTAGCAAACTGATTCAGCTGAATTTGAAGGAGAACGCCAATGAAGGCATAGGCACCTACGTCGGCGAGATGTACGCACATGGAAAGGGGAAAAAAGAAAAGGAAAAGAAGAATATGCCAACTGTTCCTTCCTCACATATAATTTTCCAATTCGTGCACATGTATTGGTGTTCATTTTCCGTCTCTTTGACCATCCCTTATTTGCCCTTCTGCTCCTGCCCACAGGTACAAAAAAGACGAACCGAAAGACTACCTAAATTTGGTGAAAAAGGCGTTGTAGCGTTACGACCCATGGTACAGAATCCCCCCTCTCCAAGGTGATATGACGGGCTCGTCTTCTTCCACCAAGACTGCAACGTAGGCGCACGCTACTCAGAGTATTCTCCCTTTACTCAGTGTTCCATTTGAATTTCCACAATTTTGTAAAAAATAAAAGCGCGATGGAAAATTCCATTCTGCTTCTTTCTGATAAGCGGGATCCCTGTTGCGCCACGATAGGGTATCTGTCTATGTGATATATATGGTGGGCTGAAAATGGAATAACCCTCCATAAGAAATGCGAAACAACCCACAGCGAAACAAAGCAGACCCAAGTCGAAACGCGCGGTGGGCAAATGGAAAGACTTCCATCCCACGAGCGGCTACCTTTGAAGTGTAAAAATTGAACCTTCTGGGCTGTAAGTTTTTGGGAATTTAAAAAATGTGTATATATACAGGTAAGTTATAAATGCATCCATTTAATATATAGATATATAT